CTTCGGGTCTTAGGGTTTGGGGTTTAGTGTTGAAAGCTTCTAAAGGTATGGGTTTAGGGTTTAGGGTTTAGGGTTTAGGGTTTAGGGTTTAGGGTTGAAAGCTTCTAAAGGTATCGTTTGCTGTTCTGCTGCTTTCAATGAGGGCTACTAACCAGACGAAACCATGCCTGTCTGTTCGTGCCCTGACGATACCTTGAGGTGCAGGGCACTGCATGGATAAACCCTAAACCATAAACCCTACACCCTAAGACCCTAAACTAAGCCCTCAACCCTAGGCCCTACAACCCCAAACCCTAAACCCTGAGCCCTAAGCCCTACAACCCTAAACTCTGAACCCGAAGCCCTACAACCCTAAACTCAACCCTAACCCAGGTGCAGGACATCGCAATGACAATCGGATTTGCACCTGCTCTGTCCTCCCATACTTAGCTGCAGGTTTGGTACCTAGAAGCAGATTCGTGGGGTTCGCTCATGGCATGTCTGGCCGCCAGCAGCAGACGATTTTTTAAACAGAAAAAAGCATCTCCCCTGGAGAGTCAAAGCAGCACCTACAATTGTAGGTCCCTTCCAACCCGTAACCAGTCAGGTCCTGACCGCCCCAAACCCTGAAGCCCAGAACCCCCAAACCCCGAAAACCGCTGAACCCCCCAAAACCCGAAACCCTTTAGCCCTAAGCCCCTAAGACTTACAGACCCTAAACCGGTCTGACATTACCCCACCGTGGCACTCGTTTGCCACGAGCTTCCCTTCGATCTCGGACAACTTCTCCCTGGTACAAACAGGGTTTAGGGTTTAGGGGTTTAGGGTTTAAGAGTTTAGGAGTGCAGGGGTTAGGAGTTTACGAGTTTAGGGTTTAGGGTGTGGGGTTTAGGGTTTAGGGTTTTAGGGTTTAAGGGTTTAGGGGTTCAGAGGTTTAGGGTTTGGGTGCAAGCCGCAACAACCTCAATCCTCGACCCTAACCATCCCTAACCCTAACTCCTAAAGCGTGCACCCACAATCCTAAGGTGTTTTAGCTATAACCTTGTTCGCACTCGGAGGGCACTTTGGGAGTAGAGTTTAGGGTTGAGAGTTTAGGGTTGAGGGTTTAGAGTTTAGGGTTTAGGATCTAGGGTTTGGGGTTTTTAAGCCTCGGGTTTAGGATATAGGATTCAGGATTGAGGGTGCACGCTTCAGGAGTCAGGGCTCGGGATGGTTAGGGTCGAGGATTGAGGTTGTTGCGGCTTGCACCTAAACCCCCGAAACCCTAAACCCTTAAGCCCTAAACCCCCTAAACCTCTAAACCTCTAAACCCCTTAAACCCTAAACCCTAAACCCTAAACTCCCTAAGCCCTTAAAGGCAGTCGTGGGTTGCCAATTGGGGTCTCAGGTCAGGGAGGCTCCGAGGTCCAGGCGAATCTCTACCCATAGGCCCCATAGTAGTTCCTTTTTGAGGCTCATATTTAGAATCCTATAAGGTAATCCCAAAAGGGAACTGCTATGGGGCCTATGGGTAGTTCGCCAGCCTGAAACACCAAAACGGCTGAATCAGGGTTTAGGGTTTAGGGATTTAGGGTGTAGGGGTTTATGGGTTTCGGATTTGGGGGTTTGGGGTTAAGGGGTTAGGGTACAGGGGTTTAAGGGTTTAGGGTCTAGGGGTTTGGGGTTTAGGGGTTACTCAAGCCTAGTGAAGTCGCATGCTCCAGCGTCCCTGAGAATGCGCTCGCTTTCGGAATACAGGTGATTGATTCACGCAGGAATACGCACAAGCAGATACAAAACACCTCAGACACCATGACCGCAAAAGGGGCCAAGTCCTTATTATTATATACGCCCTTAAACCCTACCTATAGTCTCCATTTTAGTTCCTTGTTTTGGTTAACCAATTTTATGGTTAGGGTCTTATAATGTACATTTGCTTGAGAAAGGAACTACAATGGAGACTATAGGTATACCGTCAATGGTGCGGCCTCTAAACCCCAAGTAAACATCAGACGTCTCGTCCAAGGTGCTTCACTTCGGCTTGAAGGCGACGCTGAGCGGCCCTCGACAGGAATTCATAGGCGACTTCAGTTCTACTCTCAGCCCCAAACCAACGAACCCTAAACCCTAAAACCCTAAAACCCAAACCCCCTAGACCCTAAACCCTAAACCCTAAACCCTAAACCCTAAACCCTAAACCCTGAACCCCTGGAGGGCCTGGGAGTGTTTCGGTTTCGCGGTTTTACGACTTTCCGGCTTCGCTTCGAGGCGCTCGGGCTCCGGTCCGGTGACCCGATACGAGGGTTTAGGGTTTAGGGTTTATTTAGGGTTTAGGGTGTATTTAGGGTTTAGGGTTTATTTAGGGTTTAGGGTGTATTTAGGGTTTAGGGTTTATTTGGGGTTTCGGTTTAGGGTTTAGGGTTTATACCAGACGTGCAAGCTCATGTTGCGGAGCGGACTAGCAGCCTTCTAGCGTATCGGTTCAAGACGGAGCAGATTAGTGATTTTTCTCTGCTTCTCGCAATGTGTTTTTCAGAAAGCCTTGGCCCAACCCTAAACCCTAAACCCCTAAACCCTAAACCCTAAACCCCAAATCCCTAAACAAAATCCTTCCAGCACAGGCCTCTGCTCCACCGACTGGTACAGCTTGCGCTGGCTGGAAACGTCGGATTGCACCTCTACAGCCAGCGAAGCCAGAATGCCGGGGCTTCGTGTAACCCTAAACCCTAAACCCTAACAACTTATCGGGGGGTTTAGGGTCCCTTTAAAGGAACCCTTGTAAGGGAACTCGAGGGTTCTAGAATCGGGTTTGGGGTTTGGGGTTTAAGGGTTTAGGGATTAGGGTTTAGGGCTTAAGGGTTGAGGGTTTAGGGGTTTANNGGTTTAGGGTTCACGGTTTAGGGTCCCCAAGAGGGTACCAGAGGTTATGGGTTTAGGGTCATTGAAGTTTACCGTGTAGGGCTTCAGAGGTGTGTTCACGCCTTGCAAGCCCTCTCTCGATCCCGTGCTGTGCTGTCTTCAGTAAACTGCGACCTGCGCCGAACAGGGTCGAAGCTCCGACCTAAACTCTTAACCCTTATAAACCTTAAACCTCAAACAATCCTAAAACCCCAAACCCTTGTACACCCCAAACCCCTATAACCTATAAACCCCAAAACCCTGATAAACCCTTCTAAACCCCCAAAACCCTTGTACCCCCCCCCCCAAAAANNAAAAAAAAAAAAAACTTTACAAAACCACCAAAGCCCTTACAAAACCCACAAAGCCTGCTCTTGGTCTTGCCCCGTCCCTATCCCTGGGAGCTTTTCGGCGAGTTGCTGAAAGCTCTCCGCTTAGGAACCTGAGATTTTCTGCCTTTTTGGGAACACTTCAAAAGCCCAGGTTCCTTGGACCGGAAGACTTAGAGAACCCAATACCCCTGAATTTATAAGGAATAGACCTTGAATTATAAGGGCCTTCATATTATGATTTAATGATTTATGGTATATTTGTTAATTACGGGGTATTGGGTTCTCTGCGGACTGTACGCCCTTAACACATATTGCCCTAACCCGGAAGCCGCAGCCCGCAACCCCCGTAGAGAACCCCCATGGAACCCTCTTGGGAGCCTTATTGCATCTTACAAATCCGGATAAAGCCCTAGTGAAAACCATTTTGATACCCTGATGAAACCCTGCCAGAACCTAAACCCCTTCTCGAGAACCCTCATGAAATCCGGTGAAACCACAAACCGACTTGAACACTAAACTCTTAAACCCTAAACCTACTCGTTCTAACGACTTTAAACCTTCTGCGGCCTTGGCCAGTCTGCCTTGCAGCTCAGTCAGAGCGTTCGAGAGTGCAGGAGCGTTGCCCTTGCCTGGGGTGGAGCGATAGGGTTTTATTGGGGGTGTGAATGAGTTTAGTTTGTCTACGGCTTGAAGATGCTTCAAAAGGGTTCAGGATATAGTATAGAACTCCTGGATAACTCGTAATTAAGAATATCGCTTGGTAGCCCTTGTAGAATCACAGTCCAACATACCAGAACTTCGGGACCTTAGAGAGCTTCCTTGCTCTTCTGATCGATAGTCTCAAGCCGAAGGGGTTCAGGGTTTAGAGCCAGAGCTTAGGCTTAAAACCCTAAACCCTAGGGTTAGGTTTCCCCTAAATGCTAAACCCCAAACCCTAGGGTTAGGGTTTCCCCTAAATCCTTAACCCTTAACCCTTTCGGGGTTAGGGTTGTGGGGTTGAGGGTTGCGGCTCTGGGATTTATGGCCCTCGGTTGGGGTTTTAGGGTCTCCAGACTTCGGGCTTTGACGCCTCAGGATCCTATGTAATGGAACGAAGCATAAAATAATATAATACAATATACCAGAGCAGAGTAGCATGGAGTATGATAGAGTAGAATAGAATAGACACAACTATAATATAATACCATATACCAGAGCAGAGTAGAACAGAGTCAATAGAGTAGAATAGAATAGACAAGACTATAATGTGAGTAGGGCTCTGGGCTGTGAACTTTCAGGGTTTTACCGACTGCGGTTGGAAGGCGCTGCAGTGCGCTGCTACCAGGAAGTCTAGGAGGATACCCAAACTACCCATAGGCCCCATAGTAGTTCCTTTTGGGGATTACCTTATAGGATTCCAACTATGAACCCCAAAAAGTAACCTAAACCCTAAACCCTAAACCCAAAAAGTAACTACCATGGGGCCTATGGGTAGCGTCCGCAAGACTTTGCCGCAAGGTGCTGCGGGCGTCGATCTGCCGACATGCGAGCAGCTTGCGTGCCTGTGGGTCAACCCTAAGCCCTAACCCATAAACCTTAAGGGTTTAGGGTTTAGGGTTTAGGGTTTAGGGTTTAGGGATAAACCTTAGACCCTAAGGGTCCATGTACCCAAACAGTAGATACTTCGGCCCCAAAGTACCCCAATAGGGACTACTTTAAGGCCAAAGTATCTACTGTTTGGGGACATGGGCCCTTAGGGTTAAACCCTCAAAGAAATAATTGAACCCATCAACTCTCAACCCTAAGCCCTGACCCATAAACCTTAAACCCTTAAAGAAAACCGTGAACAGTTTCCAGCCGCATAGAAGCAGTCTTCTTCGCAGCTTACATGCTGCAAGACACTCAACGAGTCAAACATCGAGAACTTCTTGTGGCTAGCATCTCTGAGCCCGAAAGGAATCCTGAAACCTAACGGCTGAATCTCCAACCGGAAGATGGCTTTAAGTTGTGAGTCATCCGACCATCTAGCATATAGCATAGAGTAGCCAGTAGGCCATAAATCAAAGAATGCATGTCTCTATCCGGTGCAGACCAGGCGTGTTTTGTTTTCTGTATAGCTTCAGGGTTTCAGCATGTAGAGGGTTTAGGGGGCTAAGGTTTGGGGCTGTCAGACTGTTATAGGGTAGCGGGGTTGAGGGTCAAGTGGCATTCAACTTCTGAGCTCTTTGGGCAGGTCGCAACAGTAACTCATCCCCAATGTAGACCCTTTGAGGGCTTTGTGTGAAACGGGCATAGCATGAAACCGGCATAGACCACACTAATATAGGGACCTCAACAATTACCTATATAAGTTTGCGGGGCTCCCTATTAAAAGTTATGTCAGAAAGGACCCCCAAACCCGATTCTCATCATTAAGGCCGCTACACTAGCCGTAGAAACAAGAGAAGCCGCCAGGAAACCAAAGCTTGAAGCCTCAACCAAGGGTCAATACCTTTAAATCCTAGGGTTTAGTTTAGGGTTAAGGGTTTAGGGTTTAGGGTCATAGGCCCAATACCTTTAAATCCTAGAGTTTGAGAGCTTTAAATCCTAGCTAGGCAGGCCTCTGCCAAGGCTTTGTTGACGGCCTTCTCGAGGGACATGGTGTGAGATGTCGCCTTTCCAAAGGAATGCTCCTAAACAGTACTTGAGCAGCTCTTGAAAATAGGGTCCCTTGTAGGGCCCCTTATTAAAAGGATGCCGTACTATACTGGGGACCCCAAAACGGACCCTAATTTAGAAAACTACACACTTCCTAAAATCCGTAGGTCAAATAGAGATAAGCCAAAAATGGTACAGTTTAGGGCTTAGGCTGTAGGGTTTAGGGTTTAGGGTTACCATATCCCAAAGGGTCCAAGTACTTAATAATCATATACTCTCCCAAATAGTAACCTACATAACTACTATCCGAGACCTAAGTACCTGATTATTTGGTCCTTTGGATCCTTGGGGGTTACTAAACCCTAAACCCTAAACCCTAATCCCTAAACCCTCATCCCTAAGTACCTGATTATTGGGTACTTTGGACCCTTGGGGTATATACCTACACAAATTTGAGCGTGTCAGGCCTTTAGGGCTTCAAGGATTCGGGCTCGGAGGGCCGAATGGCCGCAAGGTGTGCAATCGAGGGGCCGTTGTAATTTGAAGAAGGTTTAGGGATTTAGGGTTTAGGAGTTTGAGGTTTTAAGGGTTTAGGGTTTTGGGTCTGGGGTTTAGGGATTTAGGGTTTTGAGTTTAGGTTTAGGGATTTAGGGTTTTGGGACCGAGTATAGTCGTCTGGAGCCTACAGTAGACACATTTGTGGGCTCCGAGTCGGCGATATTGTTTGCAAAATATTCCGACCTCCCAATACCACGCATGTTGGATTTTGGGTCCTGGGACGTGCGGGGTACCGAGTCATCAGGCTTCTTCTGGCCTTGACGGCTGGACGAACCCCTGAATCTAGGGTTGAAGCCATGGTGCCCCCCTAGTATGGGCCCTTGACCCTGGGATCCTTATACATCTACTAGATACCCTATACGTACCCTCAAGGGTCCCTAGCAAGGCCCAAGGGTCCATACTAGCGGCCCATACGTCTAACCTTAGACTGAAGAGTTGAGGGTTTCGCGTTGGTGCTGCCATATACGGGGCCTCATTTTCCCCAAGCAGTGTGCTAACACTAGGGGGTTCTCGCGTTGGATGTAAAAGGAACTGATGCCGTCACCGCGCAGCACGCACCAAAATGGCTCCCCGTGTCCTATTGCAAATCTCATCCCAGTGTCCTACTATTTCCACTGGATGCTCGTGTCCCGTCTCCCGCTGTGGTGCGGTGCATACTTGTCGCTGGCCTCGAATCGTGTGAGGCGCCCGCCGTGTAAGTAATAACCAATACTTGGGGCAAAGTGTCCTGCTGGTCTGCTGCTGGTGTCCTGGCGATCTCCTGGCGGTCTCCAAGTCTTGGTGATCTCCCGGTGCTCTCTTGGTGGTTTCTTGGGGTCTCTTGGTGTCGTGGTGGTCACTTGCTAGACAATAGTCTCTTGCTGGTCTTCCGGTAAACCCTAAACCCTAAACCCTAAACCCTAAACCCTAAACCCTAAACCCTGTGTCTCGTAGTGGTCTCTTGGTGGGTCCTGGAGGCCGTTGTTGTCCCGGTCGCACTGCTCGTCGCGGGTGCCGGGGGTAGCAAAACGTAAATGCTGAAACACACAGATTGATGGCAACTACCCATAGGCCCCATAGTTCCTTTTTGTGGCTTATATTTAGGATCCCATTAGGTACTCCCAAAAGGAACTACTATGGGGCCTATGGGCAGTTTCTACCTGTGCTTTCCCAAGCAATTTAGCTTCGTTCGCATGTGATGCGTTTACGTGACTTTCTGGAACAAAAGGCATGCTTCTCACATGGTCTCTCACTCTTTGGGGATCTAAATTGTCATAACAAAGAAGGCTTTGGGGTATCAAGGCTTTGAGCTTTGTGTTGGGATTTTGGTTTCAGCCTCCAGCTGCCAGAAACATGGGATTTCGGGTTTCGGCCGTGCACCTACACAGATCAACGACTAAGCTCAGGGGCAAACCCCTGAAACACTAATGCGATACTTGCGAATAAGATCGCCCTTATAGTGCCCAAATAGCTATAATCCCTTCCCCCATTTATTAA